GATATTACATTATCTGTTTATTATTTGTTTGTTTTAAAAAAAAAAAAAAAATCGATTTTTTTTTTTTTTCATTTGAGTTTATGAAAAAAAAAAAGAGAATGAATGTACACAACATTTGAGTTAATCTTTGGTAATATTTGTATTGTCTCATGATTTTTTTAAATTTAAATTCATTCGAAATTGAAATGAGAAATGAAAATAGTAAAATACTTCCTTTTATGTATTCAAAAAAGGAAAATTCTATTCCAAGGGAATGGAACGTTACTACATTAGTATTTAGTATGCATGTATGATTGTATGATATAAAATCAATTGCCAATTTATCATTATTCATTTGAATCATTGAATACATTAAATGGGTAATTAAATCAATTTACTGTATATGTTATTTTCTTTTGAGCATAGCCGTGTTTATTCATCATTTAGAATTTTTATGAAACTTTTAACGAAATCGATGAATTTGAAAAAGAATTTCTCACATATGAGTAAAAAGAACAAAAAGTCAATATTAACGATATGACTCACTCGCTCATATGAGGTTTAAAAAAATATATAAATTTTCAAACAACGCAATGCTAGATTGCTATATTACTAGATTACTAGATTACTAGATAAACGATGAATCAGTCAACAATCCCTAATCATGTTTCTTTCAAAAATTTCGATATTATTGACTGAAAAGTATTATAGGTGCTATCGAATGCCATCGAAATTCTTGAATTACGGCTGAATTACGATGTCGGTGTTACGGACTTACGGTATATGTCGAAATTATTTAAATGACTTAACTATAAAGGCATTACGATATACGGCGTATGCCGTAGTCGTACTGTATTTGGTAGTATCGTTTTAAGAACGAAGTAAGTCATAATTGAAAATTATAAAATATTTTTTGCAAATCACCTAAAGCTTATCAATTTTAATATATATTTCATAATAGATCAAAAGATAATATTTTACAAATAAGACAAATAAGGGAAATAGGGGAATAGGAAATTGAATCTGTTTCTATGTTTATTGGATTATATTTTTACAGTATTTTAAAAATATTTAAAATCATCGCCTTTGTAGTGCAAATAATAATATTAATAATACATGTCAAGTTTTTTTGGGTTGATAATTATTGGATAGCGAAATTGTGTAACTCGATCAGTGTCCCACTTCCGAACTACGAAAAGTTTTTTCGCGTTTTCATAAATTATTGACAAAAGTACAAACTATTAACACCGACTTTCATGAACTTTCATGAAAAAGAAAATGACGCGTTTGATAACAATTCTACCCACAATTTTCCGCTCTTCCCGGTCACCAACATATTCTTTCTCAACAACAATACGCTTTTCTTCAACGAAATTCTCTTCCTCAACAACACGCTCCTCCACTTCACCTCAAAATTTAAATCAACTTGAACAAGTCAGTAACAAATAAGTATATATTTGAGAATCATTTAAGTATTAATAAGTTATTTATTTTATTTATTTTAGGTTAAAAGGGATTACATTATAAGTTAATAAATAAGTGGACATGTAAAGAAATCAATATTTTACTTGATTATATTAAAGAAAATTATTCAGCTTGGTCTGAAGGAAATAAAACTAGTTTTTATGATGATATTGCAAAGAATGTTTTACCTAAAAAAGGGGGAATGTCAATTAAAAGTAAATAATTGTTTATTTTTTTCTTTTCTTAATTCATATATTAAAATTATTAAAATTTTTTAATTATTTATTTTTTAAGGTAAAATTAGTGGATTAATAAAGAATTATATATTAATTAAAGAAGGTAAAGCGAAGAAAGATTGGTTTTGGTATGAAAAAATGTATAAGATCTTTGGAGTACTTAAAATGTACCTCCTTTTTTAGCAATTAGTAAGAAAACAGGTATCATTGAGAAAGAAGCATTTGAAAAACTTAAAAATAATGTTGAAGTTATAACTATTAAAATGAATCAATTGCAAGAAAGAATATTGGAAAAAAAATTGTTATTAGAAAAGGAACAATTAGAAGTTGAAAAGAAAAGGTTGGCATATAAAATAAAAAGATTAAAAATGGATTTTAAATTAAAAATGAAAGAATTAGAATTGAAAAAATTAGAATTAAAATTACAAAAAAAAGTATAGTTTTTTTTTGTTTTTTTTTTTTATAACTGGCTTAATTATAGAAATTTATTTGGAAATTCAATCAAAGTCAAGATTCAATATACTCAATTTACATTTTGAATTGGTTAATGGGTTTTACAATAAAAAATCTGAAATTCTGACTCGGCGCAATGAAAACTATAGAGAAAAATTCACATGACTGTAATTTCAGCCGGGGGCTCCCTGTCAAAATCTTAAATATCGGTGTTTGGCGCAGTATCGCTCTAGCGATAAAAAAAATCAAAACACATTTGTAATAACGCATTCAACAAATTTCTTGAATATGAGACGGAGTGGAGTTAGTGGTAAGTGTTAATCAGAAATATTAAATTGCTTTATTTTCTTCAGTGACTTATCTTCTGAATTTATGCTATAGATCCTAAATTTTTTAAGTTTTATTAACAACTTAAATACTTTATTGGTGTAGATATGTATTATTTCGAAAATCTAGTGTAGAAAAAGAGTATAGGGATGAGAATCTCGTAATTAGCAATATTAGCAATAGAAACAAAATAATTAGCTATAGATATATTATGCCGGATCCGCGTACTCCCTCCCTCTTTGATAGCATCATACAGTTCGTTTGCTACTTCGCTTTATTATTTAATAAAATTTTGCCTAAATAATATACATTGCAAAAAATAAATTGCGCAAATATATCATGATTTATTATATTTTTTATGATTTAAATGAAAAGTTATATACACATTGTAACTTGCAATAAAAATTTATTTATGTTCCATCTAGCCTTCTAGCATAATGATACATTATCATTGATAAAGAATAGTCCTAATTAAGTAATTCTAATTCCAAATTGTAGTGCCCACAAACTGGTCGAAGTGACAATCATCATAATTGATTCTAATTTTCTCACATAAACACTATACATCCAGATAATTAAAGTTGTAAAAATTTTTTTAATCTCTTTTCTTCCTTGCGCAATTTCGGCGACCCATTATCCACGATCTCACTTAAGCCAAAATCAATAAAAAAGTAATGGCGACTCTTTGGTTCATATAGAATATTTTGCTTTGAGATGTCATTGTGAAGGACGCCGCAATTATGTATTGACTTGAGTTGATTGACTATTATTTTTTTTTCCTCTTTAGTGAGTCTTTCTGGATCAACGTGATGGGCGCCCTCAATTAACTGTAATACTAACGCAAAAAGATATCCGTCATAAATGTAACCTTTATAGAGCAAACGTGGAACAGCATGACCTATAATAAATATTGCAATAGATAAGTTAATAATATCTAAAAATATTATGAATAAAAAAATTTTGTACTTTGACATTCTTTCAAAATAGAGTAAATATGAGCCTCATGTTCTAGCATTTTCGTCGCCTTTTGCTCCTTGTACACATCACAAGTCTTCCATGCCACGGATTGACCATCATAATAGCCAGAAAAAACCTTTCCAAAGGTTCCACTACCTATATATTTACCTATTGTAGTGATTCCTTTGGAAGATAACGCAGTCACTCTCTTCTTGCTACCAGTCTGAATCGAAGAACTCTTCCTCTTTTTTGAACTAGAAGAACCAGGAGGAATATAATCATCGTCAGGATCATAGTCAGGATCATCATCAGGATCATCATCAGGATCATCATCGTTATCATCATCTTCGTCGTCATCATCATCATAAGATGTAAAATTGTCATCCATCATATGATCCAATCTATTCCCGATAGTATCATTAATATTTACAAGTACCTTTAATTTAAGTTTTTGGTAAAACAAGAGTTAGTTCAACAAGAAGATATTAGAAAAGAGCATTGATAAGATGTAAATTTGTCATCTATTACACAATCCAATCTATTACCGACGGTATCATTAATAGCTAAGTGACTGATGTGGAAAACACACTCGCGTAAAGTCGGATTGATACTATCAGGATGAAAAACATGAGAAACATAGAGGTTATTTGGTTCATTTTCCGATCGTCTGAGAAAGTACGTATCAGAATAACTTGTCAAGATCCCGTAATGAAGGCCATTGCAGGCCATTTCGCCAAACACCTGAGATAAGATCCTTTTTATAAACCTAAAATTTTGATCCGTTATTTGAGCCCGGTCAGCATATCGATAAATTTCCCAGAGGTTGTAATTACCTAACCTCAAATTGTGAAACGTTTTAACCTCCACAGGCATCATGGGCATCAGACCCACTGGGGGATTATTAGTGCATAAAATGAAATCGGAAACACCCAACATTCCAATACATCTGTGTTTAAATAATGCTCCTCCTAGTAGTGGTACAACTGGGCTTATAACATTAGAATAAAACCGAAATTTTGCATCTTCTTCTACATGTAGATCCTCTGTATTAGTTGGAAACGCAGGGAACTGTCCTCCCGGAAAATGACGATTCAAAATGACATCTAGGCCGAAGTCACGCCATTCTCTCACGACACCTGGAAAGCGAGGATAAGCTGGCCCAGTTGAATTAGTTGAACCTGGAACCTGCCATGTGCAAACCGGGACGACGCGATTTAGTATCTGATTTGCTGTTTCAGTTATCATTAGTGTTAATCAAACACAAAATAAAGACTAATAGAGGAGTAAGAGGAAAACTATCGTTTTTTAATGAAAAATAATCATTAGGTGTATAATTGATTCAGATTCGAATTTGATGAATGTCATCATGTACGACATAAAGTTTCACAAGCAATTATAACAAACGTATCGCAGACGATAACTTCACAGATCTAATAATATTCAGATTGTTAACAGACAAAACGAGACCCATTATATCAAGGTTCCAGTATATTAAAATTAAAATATGTATTCCATAGATCAGCTGATAAATGTTAATTTTCTTATCAGGTCCAACCATCTTAACCCATTTTAATCTGTTAAGATAAAGTTATTTAATGGATAGATATCGGATAGCTTAATGGGTAATAACAAGTTGATAATTATTCTTGAACAATTCGTTAACAGGTTTTTTAATAGTCAAACCTAAATTCTAATAACATTAGGTTTAACACAATATTTTACAAAAAAAAAAAAAGACCAAATTGTTAACTATCGGGTCTAAATACTATTTTAAATAATAACCAATTAGATGCAAATAGTCTTTCTTATTGGATTTAAGCTAATAAATCAGGATAAATCGATTGCAATATTGGGAACTAACTAATATTAGAATTTATTAATAATATTAAATTGTTAAATCAGAAATATTCTAATTGCATTTAATATAACAATTTATTTTTATATAAAAAAAATCAATTCTTTTTCAAATAAAAAATCAAAAAAAAAGTTTAAAAAAGCTTTGAAACTTACTTATTTAAGCTTAAAATCAAAATGATATCTATAAAAAAATTGGAGATTTTTGAAATTTACCAATTCAAAAGACAAAAGGTAATGTCAAAGCTGATATATAAATTAGAATTTTTATTTTTTTAAAAAAAAACAAAAAAACAAGTTTTAAAACAAAAAACTTTGAAACTTACTATTTAGTAGTAGTATAACTAAATGCTTTAATTTGTAATTTAAGCTAAAGCTGAAGTCGCCAGTGACACTTTAACATAATTATGTTAAAGCATTACTGGTGACTTAGATTAGGTTATGTAAGTAACTTCATAATCTATAAGTGATTTCATAGTCTAGTGATAACTTCATAATCTATAAATGGGTTTATAATCTAGTAGTAATATCATAATCTAATTACATAAACTAACAGTTACTTTATAACCTAATTACATAAACTAACTGTGTCTTCATAATCTGTTAATAACACTTTGATTGGTTGTTTCTATACCTTTATTTATGACTTTCTAGTCATTGTTTAAATTATTTCCTACTATATTATAATAGGTAACATTATATTCTAATGGTGACTTTTTAATCTAATAATAACTGTAATATTATAAACTAATGACAACTTCATGATCTAGTTGTTGCTTTTTTTTTCTTTATCTTTAGCCTTTTTACTGCTAAGATGCTATCTGTTTGTTTTTATACTTTTATTTCTTTTTTTATTAATAAAATAAATGCTATTCATTTGTTTACCTATTTCTGAACCTGTTTAGTAGCCTATTAAGGTGTTGAGGGTAATCTCTTCTGGATCTGTTTGGTTACCTTTCATGGTGTCAAGATGATGTAAAAAAAGATATCAGATGGTAGTAGATTTGTGATTAATTTTGGCTAATATTATGCCATAATTCTGGCCGATCTTTAGACATATGATTTAAGTTCCATCTCAACATTATGCCAGTATTATAGTAATGTCATAAAACTGGAAAGAAGCGTAAAGAAAACTGGCAGGAAGCTAAAGTGGTTCTATTAATTCACCAGTTAGATCTCTTTTATTTTCAGCTTAGGTACCAAATTATTGTCTAAAGTTTTGGTTGAAATTATGTTATAATAGTATTAGCCAAAATTATTGTTAATTTACTGCACCTATTACACCTTCAGTTTCTGGTACTTTCCCGTTACCTTTTTGCAACTTTTTTGTTACTTTCAAGGTACATTTATGAGATGTTATAAACACTTCTGAAGTCAGATTATAGTTTAAATTTAATCAAGATAATGAGTATGCTATTTTTTTTTAAATATCCTTATGTAATTTCTCTGTTCTTAGGTAAAATTTTTTGAGGATGCTTTTAGGAGTAGTTTTGATATTTATTTTTGTGTTTCTAAGTCATTAGTCTGAATGTGACATCACCTATGACTCTACTACCTCAGTCACGGACTTCGCAATATCTACTTCTTCTCTTCGTAAGAATGGTTAGGGGCGTGCCAGAAATTACGTGATTTAGTGGGTGGGTGGGGGGTCAGGTCCTGCAATCAGGTGTCACAATATACCTTTTATGGTAATAGTATATTTTTATAGTAAAAATATATAATTTGTTTATTAAGAAGCTTTTTTTGCAATTATCTCACCATCTAAAAGTCCAATTTTAATGAATTTTTTTTGTTTTATAAAGTATAAAGAGAGCTACAAAATAAAAAAAAGTTTATGCAAATTGAATTATTGGATAGTAAAATAATTGTATTATAATATATATGTAATATATAGTAATTTATTTATTAAGAAGCTTTTTTGCAATTAACTTACTATATAGCAGTTCAATTTTAATGAATTTTTTTTTGTTTTGTAAAGCATAAAGAGGTCTACAAAACAAAAAAAAAAGTTTATGCAAATTGGATTATTGGATAGTGAAATAATTGTATTATAATATATATAATATATGGTAATAATTTATTTATTAACAAGCTTTTTTGCAATTATTTCACCATCTAGCAGTCCAATTTCAATGAATTGTTTTTTATTTTATAAAGCATAAATG